TAGCCATGATCAGGATTGTGCTGTCCGGCTGCTACTCTCTGTGTACTTAACTGGGAGCAAGATGCAACTGGTAAGGTTGGTCTCTCCTGGAAGGAGCAGGTTCATGTCTTGGGGTTACTCCTGGATCCAGTGTTATCACTGCAATACCTGTTTCCGGCTGTTTTGGACAGAGATGATTTGGCCACTGTATTCCATGCTCCATAGCAGCTTCCAGGCTGGATTACTGCAATGTGCTCTACGTGGGGCTGCCCTTGAAGACAGCTTGGAAACTTCAACTGGTCCAAAATGCAGCGGCCAAATTGCTAGCTGGAATTTCCTTCCAGATTTCATATACCCCATGTTTCAAAACAGTTGCATAGGTTGCCGGTTCACTTCCAGGCCCAATTCAAGATGCTCACATTAGTATTTAAAGCCCTAAACAGAGGCATTATTCTGGGATGTGTCTGGAAGAACTGGGGACTAGGCAGATCAATCCTACAGAGTCGTACCTTGGTTCTCAAAATGCCTTGGTACTCAAACAACTTGGAACCCAAACACTGCAAACCCAGAAGTGTTCCAGTTTGCAAACCTTTTTCAGAAGCCGAACATGCTGTTTTGAGTGCCACGCTGAGGTCTGTGTGTGGAACCCAGTTCAGCTACTAATTTGTTGATTGACTGTGTGACTGCAGTACATTGTTTATTGCTTTCATTTATGGATCCATGGTCTCGTTAGATAGTAAAACTCATGTTAAATTGCTGCTTAGGGGTTGTTTTTCAAAGTCTGGAATGGATCAATGCATTTTGCATTACTTTCTATGGGAAATGCACCTTGGTTTTGGAATGCTTTGGCTTTGGAACGGACTTCCAGAAAGGATTAAGTCTGAGAACCAAGGGACCACTGTATACAGGTCTACTCTGAAATAAAGCGATGCTGTGTTTAATGGGACGGTGTGTACTGGATTGTGGCCTTATTCATTTTAGAGAGAGAAGACAACATGCGAGGAAATGTCAGATATTAGATTGCAATCCCCCCCCCCAATACCATGAAATTAACAGGAAACATTGTCTGCCTGCATGAACTCAAAACAATCACTTACTGGAGGCGTCGGGAGATTAAACATTGCATCAATACCATGCATCCCCTCTATGGATTTTAATGCTTGTCGTTAAGCTGGCCGTTTGACAAATGCAACAGAGGTAATAATGCTATTATTGACTTGGCGTAATAAAAATTTATATTACAAAAATAAAAATAAAATTTAGGAGGGCGGGGAGTTTTTATGGCTGCTTTATGAGCGTTTTCAGCCACTCCAGAGAAAGCAGCAGATAGCGATCGCTGCGGGAGTCAATACAAGAGGGTAACAGATCCGCAGCAAATCCATCAACCCGGTGGAGAAATAGGAGCTCTGAACATTCAGGAAAGCTCGGTTATTTGGAAAATGCTACTAAGCCCCCACACCAAGATAACAGGGATATCAATCTGATAAGTTTCTTTGCACTATAATAATAAGCATCAAACACAGTAACTGATGGCCAAGTATCTTGTAAGAGAATGGTGTCTTCGTCTTAACAATAACAGAACGAAGTACAGTGGTACCTTGGTTCTCAGATGCCTTGGTACTCAAAACAATTTGGAACCCAAACACTGCAAACCCGGAAGTAAGCGTTCCAGTTTGCAAACTTTTTTCGGAAGACGAACGTGCTGTGTTTTGAGTGTTACGCTTCTGATTTGAGTGTTACGCTGAGGTCTGTCTGCTTTTGCTATTTATTTTGCATTTTTGTTTTCGAGGCTCTTTTTTTTGTTTTTGTGACTGTGTGGAACCCAGTTCAGCTACCGATTGATTGTGTGACTGCAGTACATTGTTTATTGCTTTCATTTTATGGGTCAATGGTCTCATTGGATAGTAAAATTCATGTGAAATTGCTGTTTCAGGGGTTGTTTTTAAAAGTCTGGAACGGATTAATTCAGTTTGCATTACTTTCTATGGGAAAGCGTGCCTTGGTTTTGGAATGGACTTCTGGAATGGATTAAGTTTGAGAACCAAGGTACCACTGTATTACAGTGTTTCCCAACCTTTTTTGGGCAAAGGCACACTTGTTTCATGAAAAAAATCTCGAGGCACACCACCATGCCAGATGGGGAAAGGTCACTTTTTACTTATGTAAAAAAAAATAAAAAAATAGTAACAGCATAGAAGGTAATGGTTATCTCTTTGATGTCTGATGGGAGGGCATTCCACAGGGCGGGCGCCACTACCGAGAAGGCCCTCTGCCTGGTTCCCTGTAACCTCACTTTTCACAGTGAGGGAATTGCCAGAAGGCCCTTGGCACTGGATCTCAGTGTCTGGGCTGAACGATGGTGGCGGAGACGCTACTTCAGGTATACTGGACCGAAACCGCTTAGGGCTTTAAAGGTCAGCACCAACACTTTGAATTGTGCTTGGAAAGGTACTGGGAGCCAATGTAGGTCTTTCAAGACTGTCGTTACGTGGTCTCGGCGGCAGGTAGCAGCGCTCACAGCTTACGGACTGCACCGTGTAACAGGTGTCTGGCCCAGCAGCCTAAGGCGGACAAGCCACTGAAACAGGCATTCAGAATCCATTCATTTCATAAAACCTGCAGGGCTCAATCTCTGTGTTTGTGTATGTGTGTGTTTCTGTTTTGCCCAAGGGTCTGGGGGTGGGAGGGAGCTCTTTAGCATGATGTTTTTAAAACAATTAAATTATCAACAAACAAACCTGATGATACGAATAGCAACGTCAGGTGCTACTGGGGGGGGGGGAGAAGGGGGCCTACTCGGAAGTAAATACTGCGTCCAGGCGCAATTAGCGCTGATTTAAGGTGCACCAAGACTGCCTAAAAACCTCACCAAAGATATGCAACAAAGCGCTTCGTTGCAGAGGGGAGAGTTTGTGCACCGTGGAGGCTGGAGGGCTTCTATTCTACATGCGGGGGTTGGGGGGGCGAGGAAAATGTGCTCCGTGGGGGGGCGGGGAAGGCAAGAAAAGGAGCTGAGCTCTAACTATAGGCTCCCACGCTTGAGCAGGCCCGACTCAGTGGGGCGGACCACCCTCTCTCCTGGAGGAGGAGGAGGAAGAGGAGGAGGAGATTCCCATCCACGGCGTGGCCTCCCGCGCTCCTGAACGGGAAATCTCTGCAGCCCAAGACTCTCCGCGAGGCAGCTCCTCCCTTCCTGCCTTGAGCCGCCGCCAGCCGCGCCCCCCTCCCCAGTTATCTGCTGCCTGCCAAGCCCCGCCCCTCTTCATTGTCCTCCCCTTCTGTTTATTCCCCTTCCTCCATCCCTCGCTTTTTTCCCTCTCTTTCCTTTTTTTTAAAAAAAAATTCTCTTCCCCTTCTTTTTTTCCACCCTTTCTTTTTTCTCTTTCTCCCCCCCCCCTCCCCGCCCTCCTGGGTTAAAGGATTTGAGCAATGGGTCTGGAGGTGGAGCTCGTCGGAGGATTAGCCCGACTCGCCCGCCTCCCTCCCACGGCACACTAGGTAACGTCCGGCGGCACACTAGTGTGCCGCGGAACACCGGTTGGGGAACACTGCTGTATTATTCCCTCTATTTCCAATGTCTGGAGTGTGAGCGCCATTCCTTATGTCCCCAAATCATCACCACTCATGCAAAAAAAGGGAGAAAATCCTGAGTTTGCAGGAGCACAAAAAAAAAACCTTAAGGGAGAGAACTCCAAAACAATCCAAGGCCACAGAATGTTGACTGAGTGTGGTTGCACTTTGTTAAGAGAGTTACTAGAAGACCCCTATTTTCCCCACTGACCATTCCCAGAGTTCCCTGGGAAGAGTGATTCATGGTTAAACTATGTTGGCAATTGTAGCTCTGGGAGGGGAATAACGGAATCTCTTAGCACCTCTCAGCACCCTGAACAAACTACAAATCCCAGCATTCTTTGAGGGAAGCCATGACTGTTTAAAGTGATATCATAAAGCTTCAAAAAATGTCTGGATGCGGTCCAAGTTCTTCAGCACCCTTTCACATTACAAACTATTTTCTGCCCAATATATAACTGGAATTTGATACCAACTTAAAAAAAACTTTTAAAAAACGTGTTTGTCTTTTGCTTCGAGTTGCTGTGGCAAAAATGCAACTCACGTATTTGATAAGGAATAAAATTAAAAATTAGATGGGTACAATCCAGCTGTTTGTAAGTATTTTCAAAAACATCCATTTTGACTGGGTGGGTTGGAATTGCAATCTTAGGCATTGACTCATAAGCAAATCCTTCTGAACTCAGTGGAAATCTACTCTCAGGTAAGTGTATTTAGGATTGGGGCCTTAAGTGACCATCTGGCTCTCAGCTAAAAAATTATAAAATTTTATATTAAAAAATTATTAGAAGATAAAGTCCCAACCAGAGAAGAATGGCAGATTAAATTGATGGATTATGCTGAAATGGCAAAAATGACTGGAAGAATCAGAAATCAGGAAGACCAAACTTTCAATAAAGAATGGGAATTTTTTTTAAAATTATCTTAAAAACCACTGTAAACAGTTAAAACTGTTAGTAGGATTGGAATAACACTTGTAGTTTAACGGTGAATTTTGGATATAATGGAGATGTAAAAGATCTGGATTATTATAAAAGATGCAAGAGGAAATGATTAATAATAGGACCCACAAAAAGAAAGTCCAGGATATTCTTTGGAATCTTGTTTTTGTTGTATGTTGGATATACGATTGTAAAACTGTAATTTGAAAAACTATATACATTTACATATACATATATAGCCCCTTGAAAACTGAGATGAAAGACTTCTTGAGAGGACGATCTATTTTGGCAGCTGAGGGGGAAGAGAGTTTGTGGGATGGGGGTTATTGGTCTGTTTTATTATTTATTTTGTGTTTTCCCATATTGTGTTTTTTTATGTTGTGAACCGCCCTGTGATCCTCGGACGAAAGGTGGTATACACGTTTCACAAATAACAAAAGCCGTTTTGATTTCTTTCTCACAAATCTCTCATATAGGCCCAGCAAGAACAGACGAGCTTCGAAACGGATCTTTGTGGAGGTAATTTATTGCGCTGCAACCGACTCGCTCATCGCAGATCAGGAACGCAAGATGGCTGTGTTGAACGGAAACCTTTTGCAATGTTACTGTCCTGCTTATTTGGTCTGCTATACTGGATTTTTTAAAACAACAACAACTATTGTCTCTGAAGGAAAGGCACGTCCAAGGCAGGGCCCATCAAAAAGAGGTAAATACCTCAAGTGAGGAAAGACAAACAGTCCTGGTGAGTCGATGTCTTCCGCACTGCAGGTCAGATCTCACCACACCCGGCATCGGCCAATCACCTCTTTCAGGATCCGTATCCCTTCGACGCTCTTGTCCTTCAAGGCCAACGCCAGGAGAACCGGCTTGTTCCCAGCTTCCTGAGAGACCGACGTCGCCAGATGTTTGGCACAGATGTGGACGAGGGGCTGGAAATCAACCCATGTTAGATACTGAGATATACCGTATTTTTCGCTCCATAAGGTGCACCTGACCATAAGGCGCACCTACTTTTTTTGGGGGGGAGGGGGGGAATTCAAGAAAAAAAATATTATTTAAAGGGAGCGCTGAGCAGAGCCTGTCTGCATCCCAGGCTCTGCTCAGCGCTCCCTTTCACGAGCCGCGAGGAGCGTGTGTGTGGCGCCTGCAGGCCTTTCCCCGAGGAGGGAGAAGGGCAGCCCGTCACTGACAGGCTGGCTTTCTCCCTCCTCGGGGAAAAGCCCCCAAGAGCCACACACACACTCCGCGCAGCTCTTTGAAGGGAGCGCGGCTCTTGGGGGCTTTTGTGGGAGCTGGGGGAAGGGACTCGCTCTCTCCCTTCCCCCACCTCCCGCAAGAGCCGTGCACCCTTTAAATGGAGCGCGGCTATCCCCGGCTTTTGCGGGAGGTGGGGAAGGGACAGAGCTGTGAAAGGTGGGGAAGGGACAGAGGTGGGGAAGGGACAAAGCAGGTCAGGGAGCAGCCTTCCTTCTGCTCCCCGAGCTTGTGGGGCTGGCGGTGGGGGAAGCCCGGTTTTCCCTCACCGCCAGCCCCAAAGAGCAGGTCAGGGCTGACCAGGGACCACACATTCGCTCCATAAGACGCACAGACATTTCCCCTTAGATTTTAAGAGGGAAAAAAGTGCGTCTTATGGAGCGAAAAATATGGTAAATTCTAGGAGTCAAAGGACACTGTGGCGTTTGCCATCCTATGTGTGTGACATCATACTGGGTTCATAGGGAAAGGGTTAACTAATTGTAAAATGTCTAACTGATGGGAACCCAGGGGGCAGAGTTAACTGTGTATAAGGTTTAAGCACAGAGGGTTTTTTAGTTAGTTAGAGTTGTTGAGAAGACAGTCTGAAGAGACAGAGAAGATAAGTCTGTGGGTTGGGCTAGTCTGGTGTGAGAGAGTGAGAGAATTTGTTAAGAGGCGTCAGCCACACAGTTGAGATAATCAGTCAGAAGGTATTAGGAAGGTATAGGCCGGTAAAGAAACTAAAGTTAAGATACTGACAGGAATATTATCAGAGAAACCATAAACTTGTTACTGTTTGTAAAATAAACTTATTTTATTTTTTTTGTTCACTTTTAACAACTGACTGGACTCAGTGTTTTACCAGAGAGTAACTGGTTGGTGGCAGGGGGGAAGCGAGCGCAGTGGTGGCACAGCGATCAACAAACCGTTAAACGTCCGGGGATCCTGTGTGATCACCACACCCAGCTTTTCCCGTCTGGATCATGCCCCTCTGCAAACCGCTTTTCTAAATCTATACTGCCCTCCTGCCCTTGGGAAGCTTCAGGAGAAGGGGCAGCGGCCCCCACCATTCCTCCTCAGTCCAAATCGAGGTTACGGTCCCCACAGCGATATGCCTAGGCACTTTTTTTCCTTACAAGATTACAAAGCAAATGGTCTGCGGGGCAGCGCAGCAGCAAGAGACTTGCCTCTGTGGGTGCTATGCGAGCCAGCTGATTTGAAGGGCACCAAAAGAGTTGTGCCTGTTGGCGCCGTGCTGCCCTACAGACCAGCTGATGGGCACGACATCGCAGCCACACCAGGCTGCCCGGCGGAGATGTCAGCTGCTAAACTGGTATCCAGACATCTCCATCTGGTCATGAAAATGCATCACAGCTGGTTTAAATGGTATGCAAGAATTTGGCTCCGGTTTTCCTCTTCCTTCCCCAATTTTTTCCTTTTGTGTTGTGTCTACTTAGGCTGATAAGCCTGCAGGCAGGGACTGTGTGCTGTTCTGAACAGAATTATGGAAGAAAGAATGAACAAACCTCCGGTTTTCCTCTTCCCTCCCCAATCTTTTTTCCTTTTGTGTCGTGTCTACTTAGGTTGATAAGCCTGCAGGCAGGGACTGTGTGCTGTTCTGAACAGAACTGCAGAAGAAAGAATGAATGAACAAACCTCGTCTTTGCCAAGCAGGACTTTTGTGGTGAGCAAAGGGCTGCTGATGCCGTCAGCCACCACGTTCGGCTCCACCGAGACGAGGGTCCCCATCTTCCCGTACTGCGTCACCACCACCAGGATGGTGTTGGCAAAGGCTGTGCACACCACCTCGGTCGGGATGCCCTGCACCACCTCCTCAGCCTGCTTGGAGTCCACAAGGGATCTTGCGGCCATGGCGATATCTTTCAACTGGCAAAAACAAAACCCACAAGGGAACGTTATTTTGCTCGGACCTCACAACCAGCAGGGAACAAACAGCCGGCTGCACACCCGACATGGGGCTTCCCTTGAGCTTGGCCCAGAAGCTGCAGATAGTGTAAAATGCTGCAGCAAGATTGCTGGCAGGAGTGAGACCCCGTGAGCATTTAATACTTCTGCTCAAAGATCAGCAATGGTTGCCGACTTCCTATCGGGCCAGGTTCAAGGGGCTACTATTAGCAGCATTTGAAATCAGCCAGGTGCAAAATGCGATGCCCAGGTGCCAGGATGGTGCCTGACATTCAGAGTGTTGGTGCTGAAATTTAAAGCCCTAAATGGCCTTGGCCCAGTATACCTGAAGGAGCGTCTCCACCCCCATCGCTCAGCCTGGACATGGAGGTCCAGCTCTGGTGGTGCATGCTCTAGTTATCTCCCGCTTGGACTACTGCCATGAGCTCTATGTGGGGCTACCTTTCAAGGTGACCCGGAAACTGCAACTAATCCAGATTGCGGCAGCTAGACTGGGGACTGGGAGCGGCCGCCGAGACCACATAACACCGGCCCTGAAAGACCTACTTTGGCTCCCAGTACGTTTTCGAGCACAATTCAAAGTGTTGGTGCTGACCTTGAAAGCCCTAAACGGCCTCGGCCCAGTATACCTGAAGAAGCGTCTCCACCTTCATTGTCCAGCCCGGACACTGAGGTCCAGCTCCGAGGGCCTTCTGGTGGTTGCCTCCTTGCAAGAAGCGAAGTTACAGGGAACCAGGTAGAGGGCCTTCTTGGTTGTGGCGCCCGCCCTGTGAAATGCCCTCCTTTCGGATGTCAAGGAAATAAACAACTATCTGACTTTTAGAAGACATCTGAAGGCAGCCCTGTTTAGGGAAGTTTTTAATGTTTGATGCTTTATCATGTTTTTAATATTCTGTCGGGAGCCGCCCAGAGTGACTGGGGAAACCCAGCCAGATGGGCGGGGTATAAACAATAAAATAAATAAATAAATAAATAAATAAATAAATAAATAAATACATACATACATACATACATCGTCACCATGTGGAGGTGCAAACCTGGGGATCCTTGGATCTTGACTATTTTCACACACTAGCAAGACATCTTCTAGAATTCTACTGGTGATATTTTATCTACACAATCAGAACGAATTTCCGGAAGCAAAAAGTCGTATTGAAAAATACAACTATCAAGCCTTTTTGCTCAAAAATGGCAATGAGGTATTCTGTTTTGACGACTGTAACCCTGGTTTAGGGAGCCATTTGGTGCCTAGGTTATTATATATCTGAGTTTATAACACTGACTATTAGTATATAACGCCCTTAGTGACGTGGAGCCAGTTTACACCCTTGACAGCTTCAAACTGCAGACCTGGCACTGTTACGCTGTGCGACAGAACAGTTGTTCCGCATTTGCAAGAAACCAATCTTTTAGTGTGGCAGCAACATACACTTTGGCAGGGCCTATTGACACTGTGCAGCTGATGAGCACAACATCGCTGCCTTCTCCGAACTCCTTTCAGCACCTGCTAAAACCTATTTCTTTAGGCAAGTCCACTAGGCCTGTACAACCCTGAGAAGTGCTTTTTCAGCTTATCTCTGAGGAAAGCGTTCCCTAGGAAACAGACTTGGGACCTTCTAGCCGGGGCAATGATTCCACGTGGGACTGGGGGGGGGGGGGAAAGAAGGCCGGATCCTGTGGGCTGGCTACACCGGAGTAGAGCTTTCTCACAACCACCTTTATAGTTTGCAAGGCAACCTGGAAGGAGGAGTTGCTGCTTTTCTTTCTTTTTTACCGCCTACTTAGAATTTTAGCATCTGCGGAGTTAATCCTAGCAGTTTTCAAGGCAGCAGGTCGGGAGGCGGAGCGCTGTTTTGGAGAGCCGCTTCTTCCCTTTTCCTCCAGGATGTTGCGCCTTCCGAGACATTTACAGAATGATAAGATGACGGCCTGGGATTTTTAGCCATTTGCAACGCCAACCCGCGGACTGTTTTGCAGATTTGCTCTTTCGCCGTTGCACCTACCTAGGATTTGGGGGGCGGGGGTTAGCCAAACGCGTGCGCCTCTGGAGAGCTGGCGAGGGGGCGGCCGAGCGCGCCCCGGGACTCAGCCGGTGGACTCGCGCCGGACTCTTCGGCTCCGGGAGCGCCGCGCAGCCTCGTCCCTGCGATCGGGGCCGCAGACCGAGGCTTCTCCTGCGCAGCCCGGGCTGGGAAGGCGAGGGAAGCCGGGAAGCGAAACGAGACCGAGTCCGCTCCGCCTCCGATGCGCACCCTCCGCCGCGCCGGCCGCGCTTCTCTTTACGCAGCGGAAACCCGCCTCCCTCGCTCTTTCTCCGGCGCCGCCTCCTTCTCCTCTTCTTCGGATCGCCTTTCTCCTCCCCCTCCTGGGCGGAGCCGAAGCCGAGGAGGGCGAGGGGGCCTCTGAGCATGTCCAAAACGCCCTCTGCGATCCGCGCAGCGTGCAAGCCGCATGGAGCGGGGCTTGCTTCGCTTCGCTTTTCTCGTGGTCTGGCGTCTCATTAGTGTTCGGTTCATTTGCACTCGCCTTTCCCCCAGAGTCAGTGCCGGATTTACTATAATAAGCTAAACAAGCTATAGCTTAGGGCCCCACTCTTTTGGGGGTCCCAAAAGAATTTAAAGGGGGAAAAAACCCTGGATGTACATTTCCAAAATATAAGATTAAAAAATATAATAAAACCTACATACAGCAACAGTGTTTTATGTTGTGTAAATGGACCTATCAGGTCCATAAATTATATAGCATATATTCAACACAAATAACAGCGACAATTTGTTGTTGACAAAGGACAGCTGGACATAAAAAGCTACCTTCAGTAGTTTAGGGCTTCATCAAACCTAAATCCGGTCCTGCCCCAGACTGGGACTCCAGGCGGTTTGCAGATTATGATCGTTAAAAATTATTTAACGTGCATTAAAATAGGAAAAGCTAAAAAAAAAAAAGTCAGAAAAAAGTAATCAAACACCAATAGAATCAAAACCTTATGGACAAATTGATTTTTTAAAATGATGCAAATTACCCCCCCCCCTGCAAAAAAAACCCCACCTTGCAAAATTGGCTCGACGAAGTACCGAAGGTAGGAAGAAGATTCACAGCACCGCAAAGGGGAATTCCCACCCCCAGTCTCTACTGAGTAGGCTGCATATTAAGAATCACAACCTGCCATTCTACAGAGCCGCAAATCAGAAGGGGAGCAGGCCTCCTCCATTAGCTCTGCAGAGAGTCTAGCTCAGGGGTCAGCAACCTTTTTCAGCAGGGGGCCAGTCCACTGTCCCTCAGACCTTGTGAGGGGCCGGAATATATTTTGGGGGGAAAAAACAAAACGAATTCCTATGCCCCACAAATAACTCAGAGATGCATTTTAAATAAAAGCACACATTCTACTCATGTAAAAACACGCTGATTCACAGACCGTCCGTGGGCCGGATTGAGAAGGCGATTGGGCCACACCTGGCCCACGGGCCTTAGGTTGCCTACCCCTGGTCTAGCTGCATCCAAAACCTCTCTCTGCTGTCATCTAAGCAGGATCCGTTCCATCAAGATGGAACCAATAGGCAGAAGGACATTGCAGACTAGCACCATTTGGCTCCTGGCTGTGAACTGTTTCTGTCCCAGCAGGTCATTGCAAGAACTCCTCTATAACCTCAAGAGCTTACTACCGGAGTCGGCTTGTTTTCCTCCTCCCTCCCCCTCCATTTCTCCTTTGGTGCTGTGCCTTTTATATCATAAGCCTGTGGGTAGGATTCTACTTCACTTCAGTCTTCTTAGGAAAACCCTTTTTTCTGATGAAGGGTGGGGTGAAAATGTTTAAATCCTTGATCTAAATTAAAATTATTCTTGCTTATACTTAATAAGTAATAATTCCTGCTTATGTGGAGGCATCAGTGCATGCAGCACTCTGCGAACTGTAAGAGGATCAGGTCCCTGCCCCAAGGACTTTGCAATCTTTTCCAACTGGACCTAGTGGGGAAGAGCAGAGGAAAGGGAAGAAGACTGGAGAAGGCAATTTGGAGCAGAAAAGTGTCAGCAGCACCTGTGGGGTTAATTCTCCTCTTTCTCACCATGCCAGCCAAGTTTTCCATATGGGAATAGGGATGCAGGTGGTGCTGTGGTCTAAACCACTGAGCCTCTTGGGCTTGCCGATCAGAAGGTCGGTGGTTCGAATCCCTGCGACGGGGTGAGCTCCCATTGCTCGGTCCCAGCTCCTGCCAACCTAGCAGTTTGAAAGCACACCAGTGCAAGTAGATAAATAAGTACCACTGCGGCGGGAAGGTAAACGGTGTTTCCATGCGCTCTGGTTTTCGTCACGGTGTTCTGTTGCGCCAGAAGCGGTTTAGTTATGCTGACAACATGACCTGGAAAGCTGTCTGTGGACAAACACCGGCTCCCTTGGCCTGTAAGTGAGAAGAACGCCACAACCCCATAGTTGCCTTTGACTGGACTGGATCAGAGGTCCTTTACCTTTACCTTTCCATATGGGATTCCAGGGATGTATATGTGATGATGATGATTTGCATACTGCTCTTCAGCCGGAAATAACAGAGCAGTACACAACATAAAAATACAAAATGATGCAAACATACCTGCCATTCCTATGGATGGAGGGATTGGTTAGAGGAGGGGGGGCGTGCACTGCGACTAGATGTGCATAATGTTTTGCTTAAAATTTTATTGGATTTTTATTGCATCTTGATATTATGTATTTCCTTTTTTTGGTTGTGCTAAATAAACATGAGGGAGTTTTTATTTTAAAAAAGAAAGATCTGCTGACTAATTAATCAGGGACACCTTTTTTTGTTCATGAAAATAGCTTTTTAAAATTGATTAATTTCAACGATGAATCAACCCAGCATAGCAGATGTAATTTTAAACCGCATTGATTTTAAAGGAAGACAATTCTGCCTCTAAAAATTCTTCTATAGATTAATAGTCTTTATTTCTCCCCACATACACACACGCCTGAAAGTTATGGATAAAGAGCAAATACATTTCTTTATTAATGTCTTTACAGTATTTATAGGCCGCGTTTCAAGGGAGAAAGAATGTTTGCAGACTTTTGGAAAACATGAATGAAAGCAGTACAAGACCAGATACAACTAATAAAAAAAGACAGTCACACACACACACACACACACACACACACACACACGAAATAAGGAGAGACCCCCCATAAGCAGGAATTATTACTTATTAAGTATAAGCAAGAATAATTTACTTAGATCAAGGATTTAAACATTTTCACCCCACCCTTCGTCAGAAAAAAAGGTTTTCCTAACAAGACTGAAGTGAAGTAGAATCCTACCCACAGGCTTATGATATAAAAGGTACAGCACGAAAGGAGAAATGGAGGGGGAGGGAGGAGGAAAACAAGCTGACTCCGGTACTAAGCTCTTGAGGTTATATAGTAGTTCTTGCAATGACCTGCTGGGACAGAAACAGTTCACAGGCAGGAGCCAAATGGCGCTAGCCTGCAATGTCCTCCTGCCTATTGGTTGCATCTTGATGGAGTGGGGAAGCTATGGTCATCCAGATGTTTTTTGGAGTCCATCTGCCATCACCATTGGCCTTGCTGCCTGGCTCTCATGGCATGGTAGAAGTTTGCCAAACTTCATGGCTTGGAGAAAATGGCGAGAGAAGAACTCAAGGAGATCCTAGGAAGCTGAACATTGGAAGATTCAGGACCGATAAAGACTTCTTCACGTAGCGCAGTGTTAAACTTTGGAACTCACTTCCACAAGAGGCAGCGATGGCTACTGAAATATACTCAGAGTCGAGAGTGGATTTCATGCTCTTTATTCAGCTCATAGTGGTGAGAAGGGAATGAAAGTCCCCTCAAAGTATCTGCTTTATATACATTATTTACACAATGGGTTGCACGTGATTGGCTAATTCCGGAATTCTACTGTAAGCCAATCAGGTTGTGGATTCACTTCTATCTGGAGCTGGATTGGGTGGATCCTGTCGACCAATCATACTGCTGCATTGTTCTAGGACCAATCAGACTGCTGCATTCTGAATCCTATTCTTCTAGGACCAATCAGACTGCTGCGTTTTGGGTCCTATTGTTCTAGGACCAATCAGACTGCTGCAGTTTGGATCCTATTCAACTCAGTACATAACAGCTACCAAAGTGGATGGCTTGAAAAGGGGATTAGAGAATGGCAAATCAAGCCGAAATAGCAAAACTAACTGGGAAGCTCAGGAATTGAGAAGAGAAGAAAATTTTTAAAAGAACAGGAAATGTTTATAATGTATATACAAAATCATTGTAAACGGGTCAAGACACCAGCAGGATTTTAAATACACTTGTAATGTAACAGAGTGTACAGATAACTTAGGAAGATGAAAAATTGGAGAAGTATTGATATGCAGTTAAAAATAGAATCAAAAGGACCCATGGAAGGGATAGGGGGAATAATAATAATAATAATATAATAATAATAATAACAACAATAATAATAACAATAATTTTTTATTTGTATCCCGCCCATCTGGCTGGGCCTCCCCAGCCACTTGGGGCGTCTTCCAACAGAGATTAAAAATACATTAAAATGTCACACATTAAAAACTTCCCTGAAGTCAGGAGATTCAGAATAATCACGATATTTGGATTTTGAGCTTTTATTGCAGCAAACTGGAAGAGTGGCAAAGTTCCCTCAAGGCTAGAATGGATTCAAAAATTGGCTGAATATGCGGAACTACAGCAGATAGCGTGTCTGAAAAAATAAACAATAAACCAAAACAGGTATTTATCTCAAAATGGGAAGTCTTCAAAAATATATTTGAAAAATAATTATTGTAGTTTAAACTCTCTCGTAGCATTCGAATAATTTCAGGGGAGCCATGGCTCCTGTCTGTCCCTCCTCCGCGGCTCGCTTTAAAGCAGCAAAGTGGACAGGAGCTGCCCCCTTTGGTGCTTTAAATAGTTTAGTACAACATTTGATTCAGAATATTTTCCCCCCGTGTTTTCCTCATCTAAAAACTAGGTGTGTCTTTGTTGGGAATCATTCTGCAAAGAAACAGTAAGGATGTTTATACCTTTAAGAACAGTTTCTGTGAGCTCTGGGCTGATTGGGTACAGCTGGCCAGGACTACAAAAGGAAGAAAAGCTGCAGTTTGAACTTTGCCTGCAAGGAAAACACCCACAAGCTTTGTTGTTTTGTAATAAAACCTTTATTTGATTTGGTTTTACACCGGTCTCGTGGTATCATAGCTTCTGTCATCTGCCACCAGAGGGGAAAAAACCCTCTAACAGGTTATGGGCCCAGTCCTGAGTGGGCAGAGACAGAGTGTG